ATGACTCTGCAATTACCACTGTCCTAGCAACCAATGGAATCATCAGTTGCCAGGATGAAAGCGGACAACCAGCACAGTGTCCTTGGTTGCTAGGACTCAGTTGGCCACCAGCATACTAGAAACCAAAGTTCTGAATCATTCATTTAATAGTGGTAGAAATTACTGCAGCAACCAGAGGTTTGGCAGGAAGGTACAGGCCATTAGTTTGACCATTCAAGGAGCTATGAACATCTAAAATTCTAGTCGAACTCTACACGACCACAACCTTGAACTTCATACCTAGTGGAGATATACAGTGCTAACACCTGGAATGGGAGGTACAGTTCATTTTATTGTTGGTTCTAAAGCAACCCTGTCATACTAAAATAAATACAAACAAAGAACGCCTGTAGAGGAAGAGAAGTTATGCTTACTTGGTCTAGGATGTGTTTGTGAAGTGTGCAATGAAGAATCATCACATCCAACACTTTTATTGGGTGTGTCAGTTGTCTCCGTCCCTACCATGCTTTGTAGCTCCTCTCAGTGGCTCCTTCATCGCAACCTTTTTTAACTGTTAATCCTAGCGCTTTCTTTGGTTCTACTACTTGGTTTCCTATATTATGAGACCCTTTGATGGGGGGAAGAAAAGTCTATTGTGACATTTTCATTTTATGTCAACCGTGACCGTACCTTCATAAGTCCACCATGTTATAAAAATGTCTACTATTTATTCTGATGTATGACCTTCTTTATTAAAAAATGAACATGGACATCATTGAGTTGCCAACCTCATTGCTATGCATGATATTGATATATCCTATTATTAGGAACAGACCTTTTTATTAACAATAAGGTATAAGAGGTAAAAATACATTTTACCAAGGGTAGGTTTTACATCAGCTTTGATTTCACTGCCTGAATATTTTGCATATTATAAACATGGGTAAAATAACAAGCAATATGCAAAAAAAATCACTGGCAAAGTTTGGTGTAGCAAAAAGCATTATTTTTTAGTTTTTCCTATGAACACAGGTAACTGTTTTAATATTGAACCTTTATTACTAGTCATTCAGTAGCACTGCTATCTTTTATTTGCTACAAGAGCATCTATTCAATACATACCTGTTGGGAAAGGAAATGCTACTGGTATAGAAATGGTCTGAACTCTGAAAACAATTTGTCTGAAACCAGTAAAATTCTATGACATTTTTTACTGGAGAATGAAAGAATGTGTTTTTCTATGGACAACAATACATGGTCTCTTTACAAATATTAGGCACTGTAATCCTAAGGTTTTCAAACTGCGTGTTTACTCGGCTATTGTATATGGTATCTATGTAAAGGTCGCTCTCCCTTATCCCAGAACAACAAAGATCACTCTTTATTGACGTATACAGATTGTATATCCCTTTTCAAACTATCTTTGTTGATTTTCTAGGTGAAAAAGTCAAACTCCTCAAGTAACAAACTTGAAGATGACATGTTTCTACACAATCAGTGTACAATGACTGTTTATCTGCTGAATTTAACATATTGGAAAAAGTGACAAATCATGCAATGCAACATGTGGAAAGCTGTACTTCATTCTGCTAGTACATATTATTATCACTGCATATCAGGATTTGAATTTTATTCATATTCTCCTCGAGTTTTCCAGACTACGTAAAGTATGTAAACTTCAACAATAAATTTCTCTTATTTGCTCCTATATGGTCTGCTAAAGTTTTACTAAACTCAGGAGCCTGCAATTTATTCTCTCTTGAGAAGAGGGGATTAAGGGGGGATATGATCAACATGTATAAATCCATCAGTGGTTCATATAGTGAACTCGGTGTAGAGCTATTCACTCTTAGGTCATCACAGAGGACAAGGGGGCACTCTTTACGTCTGGAGGAAAAGAAATTGAATCTCCAAACATGGAAAGGTTTCTTCACAGTGAGAGCTGTGAAAATGTGTAATAGACTCCCTCAAGATTTGGCTCTGGCCAGCTCAGTGGATTGCTTCAAAAAAATGCCTGGATTCTTTCTTGGATACACAGAATATAACTGGATACTAACATTTATAGGTAAAGTTGATGCAGTGAATATCCGATTGCCTCTCGGGGGATCAGGAAGGAACTTCTCCCTGCAGGAGCAAATTGGATCATGCTTTGCTGGGTTTTTTTGCCTTCCTCTAGATCAACTGTGGGTATATATAAGTTTATTATAAGTTTTTTTTTTATGGTTGAACTGGATAGAATTGTGTCTTTTTTTTTCAGCCAGACTAACTATGTAACTATGTAAATATGCCACTGAAAGCATTTTGTTATATCTGTTCAACAAATGCAAAAAAAAGCTGTTCACCCAGCCAGAAGTTTTGTGAGCTGATAACTTCCTATGCTCTTTTCCTCTGTGGACAGCTATAAATTAGCATTGTTCCCAGTTATCTTTGTTAACTACACTACAAAACACCTCCCCTATGTTATGGAGAGAAAGAGGTGTCATACAGTCCTAGTGAACTCCTTTTCTAAGGTGACAACACTGTTTCTTCTAGATACAGTGGGGTTGTCACCAGGTGAAAAAAATAAAGAATTGTAAAAAAAACAAAACAAATTCAGCCACCACAACTAAGGAAAGATAAGTTACAATACATTACATTTTTTGTTCTTGGGTTTACACACTTTAAACACTTTCTTCCCATCCATAGTTTTACTGCGGTGGGCATCATGGCCAGGCTCAGCAACATAAATATACATTGTTGAGCACATGCCCACTGGCGTGCTTCTCCTATAAACAGAACACAGCGGATTACGGTTCCTAGTACCCGGCCACTTTGAGCAGCGAGGGGATGATGTGATCACTATGAGATAACATGATCACAATGTCAACAAAGCTGTTATGAATTTTATTATTATAAAAAAAAAAAAAGAAAATACAACGTGAAAAAATTAGGAAAAAAAGTGAAAAAAAATTGAATTAAAAAATTATTTTTTTACATACCGTCACCAGTTAGTATCCCTGAACAACTCCACACCAGTCATATGATGCTGCTGTACTGCACTGGTGACAGTATGTAAAAAAATGTGAAAAAAAGTATTTAATTTCTTCATGTTCCAAAAAATTGTGCCAAAAAATTACAACTTCAAAAAACTTGCCATGCCTCTTAATAAATACCCCAGACTGTCTACTTTCCAAAAAGTCATTTGGGGGTATATGTACTATTCTGGCAGTTTAGGACCTCAATAAATGGGATAAACAGTCAGTACATCAGGATTTATCAGTTTTCAAATATTTAAAGTATACTATAGTTTGTAGACACTATAACTTCTGCACAAGCCAATTATTATACACTTATTAGGATTTTCTTTACCAAAGACATAGCAGAATACATTTTGGCCTAAATTTATAAAGAAATTTTTGGTCTTTTTTCATTTATATAGCAAAAAATGAAAAACCCAGTAGGGATCAAATATCGCCAAAAAAGCTCTATTTGTCTGAAAAAAAATTATACAAAATTTTATTTGAGTACAGTGTTGCATGACCGAGAAATTGCCAGTTAAAGTAGAGCAGTGTTGAATAGCAAAAACTGGCCTGTCACGAAGGGGTTAAAACCTTCTGGAGGTCAAGTGGTTAAACCTCAGAGACATTCTTAGATCATCTACCATGCACTGCATGATTCGAGGTCCACACACAGATTTTCAATTGTATTTAGGTCTGGAGTCTGTAAAGAATGTTACAAATCTAACATTTTTTGTACTGTATATCATCGTTTTGTTGTAATATCCAGCAACGTTTAGCTTCGGGTTCCTAACTGTTTTTGGAACATTAATTTTTAAGATTGTTTGATGCCTAAAGCGTATCTCCAGGAATTATCTAAATGTACCCTCAATCCACCCTATCCCCCTGTAGATCCTCCATTGCTGCTCACAGTCAGATTATTCCTCCATGAGGAACGTTAAATGCTGGCTCTAATATAGATCTGTGAAATCACTGATTTCTGAGTCCATCCAAGTTTTATCTTGTGTTCAGCCATGATGAAGAGGGAGTGGTGTAGCCCCCAAAATGCATTGACTAGTTTTAAATGACTTTTCATTCAACAATTAAAATGGTCTTGGACTCTGTTACTGGATTTTGATCTGGTGCTCCTTTCTGAATTTTTATGGTTTAAGCTATTGTTGTGTGCTGCTCGAGGGAAGACTTGCTGTATGGGAGCAGCCTTTCCAGAGCGAATTAGCTTGTGTAACATTTTCCTTCATCTGACTACACTGACAAGTCTAAAATTTCCCAGCAGCTCTTTAAACATATTGTTTTGGAGTCCTCTAGATCATAAAACAGCTTTTACTACTCTTTATGATACCATTACTAGGCTTGTAAAATTCCTGCTGAAGCAGCAGCTGCTGGGAGCTCATTTTCTATTGACCCCAGAACTACATATCCAAAGAGACATTTCCCTTTACACAGTGCATGGGAAGATTCTTCAGAGTCAAAGCAGCCCTATTGGTTTGCTGGAAAAGTATTAGGCTCCATGCACACTGGGCGTTTTGATAACGCTGGTAATGTTAGATGTGTAAATCACGTTAAAAACATGAGTTTTACAGCTTTTTTTAGCGTTTTTACATTAGCATTTAGTTGCGTTTTGCCGTGCTTAGCGGCGTTTTCTTGCGTTTGCCTTTTTAAGCACTTTTTGACAAAAAAACTGTTTTTGGGAATAAAAACATCAAAAAACACTGGTTTGCGGCATTTTGCAGCGTTAGAGCGTTTTTACTGGTAAAAAAAAACCTTTAGGAACCCACTAGTTCTGGGAATTTTTCCAGCCAGAAAATGCTCCTGCCAAAAAATGCTGATTAAAGCCTAAGTGTGCATGAACATATAGCATAACATGCTGTGGAATTTACTGGCTGTACAAAAAAATGCCAGAAGCCAAAAACAGCCGCTTTAAAAACGTCCAGTGTGCATGAGGACTAAATTTGAACTCACAGAAGCCAAAAATCTTCCCTTGCAGAGGAGCTGTATGTTTTGCCGCTTTTTTTTTTTTTTTTTTTTTTTTTTTAGTAACAAAAGTCAGAAAATGCTGGTTTGCTGCGATTTACCGCATTTTTCAGCATTAGAGCATGTTTACAACTAAAAAACTCTCTAGAAACCCACTAGTTCTGGTGGGTTTTTTTTTCCAGCCAAAAAACGTTGATGACAGTCTATGTGTCCATGGACACTTAGTCCTCATGCACACTTGATGTTTTTACAGCTGCTGCTTTTGACATTTGTTTCTACAGCCAGTATGCCCTCCAGCATGTTATCCTATGTGTCCATGCACACATAGACTGTAATCAATATTTTTTGGCTAGAAAAATATCCCAGGACTAGTGGGTTTCTAGAGGAGTTTATTAGCTGTAAAACGCTCTATGCTGAAAAGGGCAGAAAAACGCTGCAAAGTGCAGTAAAACGCTACTAATCGCGGCAAAATACCGCTAAATGCTGATGCAAAAATGGTAAAAAAAGCTGAAAAACGCACGTTTTTAACGTAACTTTACACAGCTAACATTACCAGCGTTATCAAAATGTCCAGTGTGCATGAGTGCTAAAAATCTTCCCTTGCAGTGGGGCTGCATCCACATTGCGGGAATTAACTGCTCATTTCTGTCTGAGAGAACTTAGTGCAGCACTTTTATTTACCCGGTCCTCATTCCTGCAGGTCCTTTGTGCTTCTAGACTGGTCAATGCAGCATCTTCTCCCCTATGCTCCAGCGGCCCAAGGTTTTGTCAGTGTGAGTCAGTATGATTAATAAAATTGTTTAGCAACCTCCAATTTCCCCATTCATCAAACATCCCATGGGTTGTCATAGTCTTAGACACCAGGGGCATGACTACAGGGGTTGCCATTGCGACCCAGCCTCATGCTCCAGGGGGCCTGTGCTGTTTTCTTATAACCGTGCTCTTCTCTGGTCCTCCCTGTGCTTATCTCCCCTTCCTCCCTTGCAGAACAGCCAAGTTCCCCCTCCCCTCTCCTTTCGGCTGCTGTGAGGAATATGTCAGGATGGAGAGCAGGGAAGGGGCTGGTAAATATGTCATTTTGTCTGAAATAACAGAGTCAGTGATCAGTACCAATCACTGACTGTCCATTCGGAACTGAAGTGGAGTACACTGTGTTTACTATGCTTCAGTTTGTGAATGTACAAGAAGCTCTGTACAGAGCTATTCACTGTCCTCCAATCCCCAGAGGATGCCATTTTTGGAGAAATGTGTGTCAGGCAGAGCTTTCTGTGATGTCACCTTGTTCTGCCCAGTGATCTTACACCGCTGGAATTTCAAATGTTTACACTGCCTTTATGCACCTGCATTTCTATCCATTCAGTTGTGTCCGACCCTTGGTGATTGCATGTACCATCAAGCAACTTTTTCCATGAATTCTCTTAGCAATTATTTTACAGGGTAGGTTACCAGGTCTTTCCCCAACCCCTACCAAGCAGGAGATCCTGCATGGCCAGGGATGAAACTAGGACAATTTAGACAGAAGCCAATTAACCTACCAGCATGTCTTTGGAATGTGGGAGGAAACCCACACAAGCACAGGGAGAACATGCAAACTCCATGCAGGAGGCGCCATGGTTGGGAATTGAACCCATGACCCATTTACTGCACGGCAGACGTGCTAACCACTAAGCCACTGTGCCACCCATGCACCTGCATGTAAATACTTGCAATACTTTAATAAATTATTTGCTGGTTTATCGGGTCGCACTATGAAGTTTTCTTCTGTTTTAAACCTTTCCTTGCATAATGTGGAGAGCTGTCTGATGTGATGGATTCGTTCAAGTGAACCTGCAGTTTTCTATTCATCTCCTTGATACAGCTAACTAGGGTGTCAGTCTGGGATCTGAACACCATCCTCTCGTTTGATCTCTTGCTTGGAGATCAAAGTGTCTGGTAAGAGGCTGATTTTTTCTTTTTTGTCAAGCATTTGTGGACACCTATGCACTTTCTGTTGGAGGATTTCTTTAGCACACAGCACTGTTTTATTGGATTTTGGGACTTTAATTATTTAATATATGAATGTGGACTTATATCATTTCAATTAATTTATGCACATTTTTTTATGCAGCAGTATTTTATTTTATTTATTATTGTTTATGTTTTTTTAGCATACAGTGCACTCATTTTTTTTTATGTTTTGTATTTTCCAGAGCTATTCCTGTCCGTTCATTCTGTGCAGCTGAGGCTGCAGAGAAAGAGATTGAGGGCTGTATCCTCAATCTCCTTTCTCTGTCACAAAGGTGAATCATTGAAACATCTCCTGTCTGACCCCTGATATCTCATAAACGTCCCACAACAGAGCTCCTGAAAATTAAAAAAAAATAATAAAAAGAATATTGTTCTAAAATAGAATGGTAAAAAATATTTAAAAAAAAACAAAAAATTGCTGGCACCAGTGGCAGAACTACCAGGGTCGCAAAGGTCGCGCACTTCCAACTGGCCCCTGGCATTCTGCCACTGGGCTCAGAGGTAAGGGCCCTGGGCTTGGAGAGAAGGGCCCCTGGACGGGGGTCAGGGGGCCCTTTATGTTTTTTTGTTGCAGCAACCAGGGTCCTGAAGATTCTAGTTTCGCCTCTGCTAGACACACATAAAGTCTTTGACTTTATTAAATGGCCCTACCTTACCACTGTCCTACATAAATTTGGTTTTGGGAACAACTTCATATCCTACATATCCTTCCCATGGCATATCTTAAGAGTAAATGCATGCATCTCTATCCCCTTTCCTATTCAGGGGTGTCCACTATCCCACCTCCTATTCACCCTAGCAATAGAATCCCCTTTCCTAGGCAGGGGTGTCCACTATCCCACCTCCTATTCACCCTAGCAATAGAATCATTGGCGGCGCTTATCTGAACTTCACCACAACTAACAAGAATTTATGCTGGTACCATAGAAGAATGTGTCTCCTTATATGTGGATGACATGCTATTTTATTTTAAGGATAACTTTACCTTTTTATCTAAAATAATAAATGCACATTTTTTTGCAGGTAAAAAAATGTGCATTTATTATTTTTGGTTGCAGAAGCCTGGAACCCATTGCACCAGTGATCAGCAGATCACTGGTGACATGCAGGTCTCCTGCAGACCTGTCAATATATGTGCTTGCCTATACAGGATGTACGAGCAAGGAGATAAAGTGGTAGGATGAATCAATGAACTACCACAGTGTTCCACAGTTCATTGAGGACTACAAGCTGACAGACACTGTCAGGACTTGTAGTTTCTCATTCATAGAGGACTGTGAGTGAGTGATGTGGCCGGGCTGGTTGAGCCCCACACAGCCACGTTTTTTTTTTTAAATTAGACAGCTAGCGAGTGGAGAGAAGATCCCCCACTAGCTGTCAAAGCAGGGGAGTGGGGACAGATGCATTCATAACATGTTACACCCTGAACATGGGTGTAACATGTAACATGTTAGGAAAGATGAAACTTATCCTTTAAGGTCCTCTGATGTCATCAGCACCGATGTAGGGACCGTAGCCATAGACCACACTTGCACTGGAGGTGAGGACAAGGAACAGTCCACTGTCACAGAAGAGGAGAGCGCTGTCTGCCAGAGGAGCGGAGGATCAGGTAAGTAAAACTGCTTATACCGTCCCCTACACATTTTACAGCCCCGCGGCAAGGAAAGGTTTCTCTAGGAGGTGACCACACTCCTGAAGTTGGGCTTTAAAGTAAACCTGTTGTTTTGCTCTGCATAGGTAAAGCAAAAAAGAGACCCATTCAGGCCTGTGTGTATTCATGCTGGCAGTAACGAATTCCAGGCATGGCTATATTATACACAGTTACACTGGTCCAGCTTGGACCAATGTAATTTTGTATATACAGTACTATACGTGGCCGAGGCCACTGGAAGCTAGAAATCACTGAACTAGACACCACTACTCCAGTGATTTTCACATGCTTCTAGGTGTAGATGGAAATCATGGGGGGTAGCAATGTCTACTTCAGTGATTACAGCTTCCAGCAGTATCCGCCAGGTATGTCATTACATTATTATTATTATACAGTATTTACATAGCGCCAAAGGGTATGCTCAGCGCTGTACAGTAGATAGTTACATTGCTCCAATCTAACTATGTACACTGGGTATAGAAAAGAATCACCCCCTAAAATAATCACATTTTGCTGCTTTGCAGCCTGAAATGAAGACAGACACATTTTTTGTTTTATCCAACTGTAAATAGAAGGTATAATACCGACATGTCAGAAAAAAAAATAAAAAAATTCAAAAAAACAAGAAGGAAAAAGGATGACCCCCTTGTTGTTGAATCACCTTTTGCTTTAATTCCAGCCTTTAGTCTGTTGGGATATGTCTCTACTAACATTGCACATCTAGGCTTTGCAATATTGGCCCACTCTTCTTTTGCAGAACTACTCAAGTTCAGTTTAATTTGATGGTGACCGGTTTGTGAACTGCAGTCTTCAAGTCATTCCACAGATTTTTTAATGGGGTGTAAGTCTGGGCACTGACTAGGCCATGCAAAGAGATTCTCCTTTTTCTCCTTCAACCACTGTGTGGTCATCTTTACTGTGTGCTTTGGATCATTGTCATGTTGGAAGGTAAACCTTCTTCCCATTGACAACTCTCTAGCAGAGGGCAGCAGATTTCCCTCATAAATTTGATGGTATTTTCCCCATCCATTTTTTCCTTCTATCCTGACAAGTGATCTAGTCCCTGCTGCAGAGAAACCCCCCATAACATGATATTCCCACCTCTATGCTTTACTGTAGGAATGGTGTTATTTGGCTGGTGAGCTGTATTGGATTAGACAGACACACTGTTTAGTGTTGAGGCCAAGTCATTCAATTTTAGGCTCCATTTTAATAACGCTGGTAGCATTAGCTGTGTAAAGTCACTTTAAAAATGCTAGTTTTTTAGTGTTTTTGTATTAGCGTCTAGCCTCGTTTTTCCACGTTTGCATTTTATAGCATTTTACCCAAAAATATTTTTTTTGGTCAAAAAAAGTCCAAAAATGCCAGTTTGCCACATTTTGCAGCCTTTTACCGTGTTTTTCAGCATTAGAGCGTTTTTACAGCTAAAAAACTCCTCTAGAAACCCCTCCAGCCAAACAAACGCTGATTACAGCCTGTATGTGCATGGACACATAGGATAACATGCTGGGGAGTTCACTGGCTGTAGAAAAAAAAAAACAGCAAAAGACAAAAAAAGCAGCTGTAAAAACGTCCAGTGTGCATGAGGACGAAGTCTCATCTGACCATAACACACTTTTTTCCATGTAGCCTCAGAATCTTCAAGGTGCGTTTTGGCAAAGCTCAGTGTTGTCTGCATGTGGCCTTTCATGAGGAGCGGCTTTTTTTCTAGCAGCCCTCCCATACAAGCCATATTTGTAAAGAATTTGTGATATTGGTGTCACATTCACAGAATGACCACTCTATATTATAAATTCCTGCAACTGCTTCAGAGTTGCTGTAGGCCTCTTGGTAGCCTCTCTGACCAGTTTCCTCCTGGCTCTTTCATCCAGCTTGGAGTGATGTTATGATCCAGTGAGGGTCTGTGTTGTACCAAATGCCTTCCACTTCTAAATAATAGACACTGATGTGGTTTTAGGCATTGATAAAGCCCTTTAACCTCCCTAGCGGTCTGATTATTTCAGATTTTTGGTGCTGAAAGCGGTACCATTATTTTGCATGGAAATATGTAGTTTTTTTATTGTAGGCTGTAATTTTTAGGAATAACTCACTGAAATCTGTCCGAACAAGAGTCTATTAAACATCCCGGGTATGATAAAATTTGAAACACAAAATCATGAATTAAAATTTAATAAATAATCATAAAAAATAATAATATAATAATATTACATTTAATTCAATAATATAATCAAACCAAAAACACTGAAATTTGAAATAGAGCGCCAAGTTCGCACATTGCTGAGCAAAGTTGCAAAATTGTTTTCAGTGTCTGATGACGAATTTCTCCACGAATCATTATCACTCAATTCTGCAAGTGGTTCTGATTTACTATCGCTGTTCTCTAGCTGATCTAAACCCGCTTTTGACCAAAAGGGACGCTTTTTGGATGCCATGGACTTTTCTAAGTTTCCAGCAGAAAGAACATTCAAAATGGAGACAGGGGACAGGCCAGAGCACTAGGGACAAAATGTATGTGAATGGGTTGAAACAGCAATGTTTTACTATGTAAAATCGTTTTGAAAAAAATGAAAATTTTTTTAAATTTTCAAATTTCCCGCCGCCAGCAGCGCCCGTACGTCCCGACGTCACAGGGACCGGAACACAGGAGCTGGATGCTGGCATCAGCCGGAGGAGATGGCCGGGGACGCTGCAGGGGACACATCGCGGGAGCGAAGGACAAGGTAAGTGCTGCAGGGACTCCCTATGCAGCGCCGCATGGTAAGCCCGAGTGTAGCTCGGGGTTACCGCTTTTGGTATAGAAATTTTACCCCGACCTACACTCGGGAATACCGGCAGGGAGGTTAAATATTTTTGTACCTCCTGACTTTTGCCTGTCCACAACTTTATCCCTGAAAATCTTTTGACAGTGCTTTGCCACCCATAGTTGATTCTTTGCTACCCATAGTTGATTCTTTGGTTCAACTGCACTATCAGGGACTGCAATGCTCCAGGAAAGCTCTTTTAAAGCTAATCAAAATGACCACAACTGATCACAGTTGAAAGTCAAACTATTGAGAAGGTGATTAGCTACACTTGTAAAACAAGTCATTTTTAGGAAGAGGGTGATCCTTTCTCCAACTCAATGATTCTGTTTTTGATTTTCACTGACATGTTGGTGTTGTGTTTTTCGCTTGGATGTTATAAGTTGCATTGAGTAAATATAGCTGGATAAAACAAAAACTGTCACACTCTTCCTTTCAGGCTGCAAAGCAACAAAATGTGATTGTTTTAAAGAAGGGTGATTCTTTTCTATACCCACTGTATAATATACCCATGCTTCTTTATTGCATGGCATCTCAACAGGTTAGCCATTGTATTGAATGGTACTGGATGTAGCTTATTTATTTTTGTAATACGTTGTCACACATAATATGGTCAGCATTACATATAAATGCATGATTGTTGAAAAAAAAAAAAAACCACACATTAAAATGTATGAATTTAGTCAAAATGTTAACAAGATAATTGTTTATGGGGAAAAGCCTGGACTTGTTGTGGGCTGGAAACCTATTTTTGCAATGAACACAAAAAGACATATGTTTATTCCATCAATCATTGACTTTTCATATTTCTAACTGAATTGTATGTTTTGAGAGGAGTTCTCCTTTAGTACAATCAGAGGTAGAACATAATGGGTCATACTGTGATGACAAAAGGAGTGAAAGGAATTCCTCGTTTAAGTTCACTACTACAAGACAGATCTTGTCAAAATATAGTGAGCTTAGATGAGCGTCTTGTGGTCTACATTTCAATGGTCTTGGGAGGATATGGCACTCGGGGGAACTATTTATGGCAATAATGTGTTACTAGATTTGGAAACTGACATCTCCGTGAGAACAGTTAGTATTTTTAATGGATATTGGGCTCTTAGTACTATTACTGTTAGATTGTAACTGCTATGGCCAAAGAGAGTTTGGTGACTGCCTTGAAAACATTGGTCTTTTTTTTCCTGAAGATAACTATTATTTTTTTCATTTCAAAATACAAGAAATATCACATTTGCTGAATTTAAAGGAGGTATGCTGAGAGATGTGAAGTGTGTTCCAATAAAAATGTAAATGAAATAATGTGGAATAGGCAGTTATGGTGATGTTTCACTGAGTGATCAAGTCTCGGAAAAACATGTGCTGTTTATGGTGTAAGTACTGCCTTGGGCCTATGTAAATCATAATCTGCCGCTGGTAAAAACAAATTTCACGTCTTTTACTTACGCTTTTATCTCCTATATCCATGAATGTGTTTTTGCTATATGTCTAATTTTTTTTTTTTTTCTATATTTAGGTCCTTTCACACAGGCACCCTTCCCTTTAATCTCAGCAGGGGATCCTAGATTGATCCCGTGCTGAGTTTGATTAAACAAAAATGAATGTCACATACAGTATATAGCATTTGGCTCCACTGCAATATTTTTTTTTTTTTTTCCATCTTGTGATATCTATATTCACCCATATCCGGTCAGGTCAGTAGAAGCAAACCTAGACATAACCTAAACGGACCCAGATGTGGGTGGATATAGACATCTGGCTATCCATTGAGATACATTGCATTCCATTTTTAATGCATGTAATGATGGGTCAAAAACAGACTGACATAACCCCCATGTGAAAGAGACCCCACTATTATTTAGCAGCATTGTATAGTATAGCCTTTTTCAACCAGGGTGCCATAGCTAAATGCAGCATCTCCCTGCTGCAGCCACATGTTATGCAAGCGGTAGCGGGGAGTTTGCAGCACAGCCTTATCCACCTGGGGGTATACTTCCAGTTGTGGCCACAGCAACCTCTTCAGCTAAAGCGGGAGCAGTTGGGGTGGTAAAACCTGGCTCAGCCACGTGACTTTACCGTCCTCCAATTTCATGTGTGAAGGAGCTCAAGGTTCACATCTGCCTACTGCACGTAGGGTTGCCCAATCATTCCAGAAGAATGGACGCATGGAAATCACACTGAAAATCGCATTTGCAAATGCAAGGGCATACTATTAAGCACGTGTCTGCATGTGATGGTATTCCTGATACACTGTAATGGGAACCAAGTCTTACACTGGAGTTCCCCGAGCCTGAAAATAACTTTCATGGGTGCCCTGACTAGAAATACTGGTCTATAGCATTTAAAATGATCTTTTCTTGTACTTTTTGCATTACAAGTCCTCATGCACACTGGATGTTTTTCCAGCTGCCGTTTTTTGGCTTTTGCCATTTTTTTCTACAGTCAGTAAACCCCCCAGCATGTTATCCTATGTGTCCATGCACACATAGGCTGTAATCAGTGCCTTTTGGCAAGGGCCTTTTTTGGCTGGAAAAAAAACCCCAGAACTAGTGGGTTTTGAGAGGAGTTTTTTTTTAGCTGTAAAAACGCTCTAACGCTGAAAAACGCAGTAAAACGTGGCAAACCAGTGTTTTTAGACTTTTTGAGCAAAATACATTTTTTTGTATGTATAAAAAAAAAACAAAAAAAATGCAGGAAACCACTAATGCAAAAACGCTAAAAAACTTGCATTTTTAACATGACTTTACACAGCTAACGCAGTGTGCATGCTGATGTGAAGTAGATTTGTGTTGTTTCTACACTGTGTATGGTAGCAGTGGTTTCTCTGCAGAGGTATAACATGTCCTCTGCTAAGTCCAAGTGAGGGAGGATGAGCTTTGCTGATTACGGATCTATAGATCTGGCTACTGTTTCTGCTTAGAGAGCTACAGCCCTTTTTTAAAGCATGCTGTCAGGAAATAGGCTTTTGTACTCAGGCTGCGGGTGCTTTCTAAAGAAATCACTTTGTAAGACTTAAACACACGGGGGTTGATTTACTAAAACAGGAGAGTGCAAAATCTGGTGCAGCTCTGCAGAGAAACCAATCAGCTTCCAGGTTTTTTTTTCCAACAGTTAATTGAACAAGCTGAAGTTAGAAGATGATTGGCTACCATGCACAGCAGCACCAGATTTTAGTAAATCAACCCCATTTTGTTTTGATGTACCTGGAATGTAGTTAGATCAGTTGGGCTTCCCATGGCAACTAATCAGGTTTTTATCAACCATACATCAGCTATTATTTTCTAGTGCGCAGGGGTCAGCAACCCCAGTCGATCGCAGTCTACCTGTCAACCACGGGCAGGTGACAGGTAGACAGCGAACAGGTACCTGCGCTGCCAGCCCCCGCCTTTTAGTTGCTGGTCCCTCTTCCCACTTTCCCCAGCCTCCCCCGCTGCTGCTGTCATCCTCAGTGCACAGCGGGGTGCAGCTCAGGGCGGAGGGCGGGAGGAGGAGCTATCCAAATGAACTTTTCATATTAACCCGCAGGTGATTGGTTGCTAGGTCCCAAAATCCCAATCCCCAGCCACTTGCTGGGAGTTCAGATTTTTAAAATACCTGCCTTATGACGATCCCCTTTATTATCCTCCTGGAGCAGCTGAAAGCTAGCGTCTCCTCCTCGCCCTCCCACCAGCATACAGCTGCTGCAGGAGGAAAGTCCAGGGGATCGGATCTAGTAAATGCCTCCCTTGCTGCCCCTCCCATCCTTGTTCCTCCTTTTTTCTGCTGCCTGCCCCCTCCCCA